CTCACAGGACCTTTCAGGATCTAAAGAGGGTACAAGGAGGACACAGAGAGATTCTATATCAGGAACTGGAGTGACAGGACAAGGGGAACGGGTTCAAACTGGCAGAGGGGAGATTTAGGTTGGATATTGGGAAGGAATTCTTGGCTGTGAGGGTGGGTAGGCCCTGGCACAGGTTGCCCAGAGAAGCTGTGGCTGCCCCTGGATCCCTGGAAGTGTCCAAGGGCAGGTTGGAGCAACCTGGGCTAGTGGGAGGTGTCCCTGCCCATGGCAGGGGGTGGGACTGAATGATCTGTAAGGTCCCTCCAACCCAAACCATTCTGGGATTCTAAGATGTTAAATTAGGAATTGTGAGGTTGGGAGGGAGACAAAGAACATCTTTCTGGGCAGGTAAAGGACTATCCCAGGTGTGCCAGATGTGGGGCTGTGTCTCCCAAAGGGTTGTCATGTGGAAGGTGAGCAACTCTGTGACCCAAGTTAATTAAAAACAACGGCAGTTTGGTGGGAACAGGACACCCTGTCTGTTCTCAGCCTCCTTGCAGTCAAACCACTAATTATTTTTTTAATATCTTTTTTCCTACGTATTTTATAACTTGTTCTTTAGTATCAAATTGGAAGCCAAATCCAATGGTGGGGGGAAATTAATTTCCTTGAATTGAAGAAGCAATCTCCTTGAGACTTTTTAATCATTAGATGATAACTGTGTGCTAAAGAAAGGAAGACCATTAAAGTAACTTAATAGACCAGGATAAACGTTTTTCCCTGTATCTCCTTCATCTTTATTTAGAGATCCATACTGAGGATATTTCATAAAAGCTGCTCTTCTTGACCTTTCATCAGTTATTGTGTAGAGGAACCAACCGAAATAATGGTGGGGAACTAACACTGTGGACTCCTGGATACAAACCCAGTAATTCTGCTCTTCCTTCCTGCCAAATTGTGTTTTTCCTTTCTCATTAAAGGAGGAATAGCTATGGGGACAAATAAAAATGCATTTAGCTGAGCTGTGTGATTTTTAAAAACAAGCTGTGTTAATGCTTTTAATTAAGGGGCAGAAGAATAAGAGGCTTTATCAGCTCTTTGTCTGCAGGCCATTATTTGGTTGTGGATGAGCAATCTGTTCTTGTCAACGTCCACCTACTTGAAGGATTTACTACAAAATCAAATGGTGTTTTTAGTTAAATTCTCGAGCGCTCTTTGATTCCTCATTTATTTAATATGGAGCATTGTTGCAAAGAAGAATGAAGCACTTAATTTGTGTTGCTTGAGGGACCCAAGGGCCACTTGGGAGCTTTGTGGTGTCCTGTGCTGAAACAGGATGTGCAGCAAAATGGAGAAGAGGAAGAATTGAAGGTGAAGTTGCTAAATCTCAGTTAGAATCCCAGAATGTGCTGAGCTGGAAGGGACCCCCAAGGATCACAGAGTCCAACCCTCAGCCCTGCACAGGCCCAGCCCCAAGAGTCATCCCCTGTGCCCCAGAGGATCAGCCAAACCCTCCCGGAGCTCTGGCAGCCTTGGGGCTGTGCTTCCAGGAGTGTTTAGGGAAGGATCACTGACTCTTTGCTCTATAAATTGAAGTCACATTGCAAAGTCTTGGGAAGAAGTTCCTTCCCTGTTCAGGTGGGGAGGCCCTGGCCCAGGTTGCCCAGAGGAGCTGTGGCTGCCCCATCCCTGGGACTGTCCAAGGCCAGGTTGGACGGGGCTTGGA